TCAAAACATGTCAATTTGGCTAAAGACAATCAAGTTATTCAGCAGGAGTTATTATCTATGAGAAAAGTACAACAGGAATGTGAAAAACTTGAGGAGGATAAAAAGATGTTAGAAGAAGAAATATTAAATCTTAAGACACATATGGAAAACAATATGATAGAACTTGATCTAGTACGAGAATATACATTGGAGCTAGAAGAAAGGACAGTGCAGGTACTGGAAAAATTAGAAGAAACCCATTTACAGGTTAGTTTTTAAAATCAGGTAAGTTTATCTGTAATATGCTTTCAATCCTTTCACCGCAAATTATATTTTGGATATGTATATATTGTATTTCCTCTACATCTCTTATAATACTTTGTTTTGTAGATTTCTAGGGAAAAAATGGCATCTCTTCTCCCTTTGAAATATTTAAATTTTTATTGTTATTATAACAAAATCAACCTTTCAGAGTAGTGAGTCATTTGATTATTAAGACTAGTTGGCATAAGATAAAATTGTGATTTAGAAATTATGTGATACTTTTGAATTGGTCTTAAGCTACAATGTTCATTGCTCAGTTTTTAAAATTATAAATGTGCTCACAACTGTAATCCCAGCACTTTGGGAGGCCAAGGTCGGTGGATTACGAGGTCAGTAGATCGAGACCATCCTGGGCAACATGGCAAAACTCCGTCTCTACTAAAAATACAAAAATTAGCTGATCGTGGAGCCACGTGCTTGTAATCCCAGCTACTGGGGCGGCTGAGGCAGGAGAATCACTTCAACCCCTTCAACCCAGGAGGCAGAGGTTGCAGTGAGCTGAGATCATGCCACTAGACTTTAGCCTGGCAACTGAGCTAGACTTTGTCTCAAAAAGAAAATTACAAATGGATTATATTACTTTTTATATAACCAGATTACATTAATACTAACATAATAATGATTTTTAATGTTTATAAATCAGACAATTCTGAATTCAATTATTAGTTTTGTTGATATTGTTAATAAATATTTTAACCTTCAGTCTTTTTTTAATGTATTTAAAATTGTTCTCTGAATCACTGACTCAAAATGAAAGACAACAAATATATGATAATTAGGTTACAATTGTTTTTAAACTGTATACTTTTTGTTTTAGAAACAAGCAGAATATGAAAAACAATTAGAGCAGTTAAGCAAGGATAATACAGCTTCACTAAATAAGAAGAAACTCACACTTAACGATGTGGAATGTAAACTCTCCAAAATGAAAACTGCTTATGAAGAGGTTACAACTGAATTAGAAGAATATAAGGAAGCCTTTGCATTAGGATTAAAAGCTAACAATTCCATGTCAAAAAAATTAATGAAGTAAGTCAAAACATACACTCATAGAAAATAAAATAAGCTCATCAAGTTGTTTTGAACATGTAATTTTTAGTGAGATGGCTTCAGGAGATTAGTAGGAAGTGAATGCTAATTTGATAATGTAATTTTGAAAAATAATAATAAGGAATCTTACCTTTAAAATATTAGTGAAGGATACTTTCTGTCTCTCTCTTTCTTTTCTTTTTTTTTTTTTTTTTTTTTTTTTTTTTTTTTTTTTTTTTTGGCTTTTTTATAGCTTTTTCCCCCTGAAAAGCCTCATGTAATTAACATGATCTATACTACATGTTTTTGAAGCTTTATAATTAATAAAGTGATTTTGTTATAAAATTACTTGTCAGGATTTCCCTAGATAGAAATATTAATGAGTTTAAATTTTTTTTTTTTTTTGGTGGATCACAACCTAAACCCAAAGTGCCAAATGGTACCGCTACTCTGGACACATCCTGTCACTCAGGCATAGAACTGTGTTTGATTATGATCTTTAATGTTATCACCAGAGGGTATCTCAAGACAGACTATTTGGGTAACATTTTCAAGATGTTACTGAAAGGCATTTTTGTGAAATAGGGAATAATTATCACAGGAATGAAAACAAATATAATTCGCAAAGTGGCTAAAAAACAACTTGTTCAGCCTGACGAGTGTGTGGAAGGCAGAAAGAACAAGCCCCGCTTCAAATGCCTTGATCAGTGTTAGAGGTAATTGCCTTCAGAGATGCTTTAGTTCTTTTTATTCATCAACCCAGCCATCTAGTTCTCCCCTAGGGGTTGCTGAATTATTCCTCAGTGCCAAATGCCTATTTTTTTTTTCTAGATAGTGGGTGAAATGTATAAGGGTGAAACCTGAAATGTGTGGTTTACTAAACACAAATAATTGTAGCTTTTTTTGTTCATTTTAGTTTTCTTAATCTACATTATTTAAGGAGTATAATATGATGTTTTAATATAATTATTTATAGTGAAATGGTTCTTATAGTCAAGCAAATTAAGATGTTATTTCCTCACATAATTACCCTTTATATACAAGTATTTCTAGTGGAATCTTCAGAATCTTACAAGTAGAGCCAATTTAGAAAACAGCAAGTGTTACCTGTTGAGCTGTACAACACTGATAGCCATTTCTCTTCCCTGTCTACCTTGTCTGAACTGCTTGTTTAGTACCTTGGAAACACATCTATTTCTTTAGAACAATTTTAAATTATAATTGCTTAAAACAGATATGCTCCCACACATCTTTGGTATTAAAGCACTTCTGAAACTATTCCAAACAATACAAAGAGGGAATCCTTCCCAAATCATTTTATGAGACCAACATCAACCTGATACCAAAACCCAGGAAAGACTCAACAAAAAAAGAAAACTTCAGGCCAATGTCCATGACGAACATAGATGCAAAAATCTTCAATAAAATACTGGCAAACCACTGCAACAGCACATCAAAAAGCTTATCCATCACGATCAAGTAGGCTTCATTCCAGGGATGCAAGGCTGGTTCAACATACAGAAATCTATAAACATAATCCACCATGTAAATAGAACCAAAGACAAAAGCCACATGATTATCTCAATAGATGCAGAGAAGGCCTTCGACAAAATTCAGCAGCCTTTATGCTAAAAACTCTCAATAAACTAGGTATCGAAGGAACATATTTCAAAACAATAAAAGCTATTTACAACAAACCTACAGCCAATATCATACTGAATGGGCAAAAACTGGAAGCATTCCCTTTGAAATCCAGCACCAGAAAAGGATGCCCTCTCTCACCACTCCTATTCAATATAGTATTGGAAGTTCTAGCCAGAGCACTCAGGCAAGAAAAAGAAACAAAGGGTATTCAGTTAGGAAAGGAGGAAGTCAAATTGTTTCTATTTGCAGATGACATGATTGTATATTTAGAAGACCCCATCGTCTCAGCCCAAAATCTCCTGAAACTGATAAGCAACTTCAGCAAAGTCTCAGGATACAAAATCAATGTGTAGAAATCACAAGCATTTCTATACACCAATAACAGACTAACAGAAAGCCAAATCATGAGCAAACTCCCATTCACAGTTGCTACAAAGAGAATAAAATACCTATGAATACAACTAACAAAGGATGTAAAGGACCTCTTCAAGGAGAACTACAAACCACCGCTCAACGAAATAAGAGAGGATACAAACAGATGGAGAAACATTCCATGCTCATGGTTAGGAAGAATCAATATCATGAAAATGGCCATGTTGCCCAAAGTTATTTATAGATTCAGTGCTATCCCCATCAAGCTACCAATGGCCTTCTTCACAGAATTGGAAAAAACCACCTTAAACTTCATATGGAACCAAAAGAGAGCCCACATAGCCAAGACAATCCTAAGCAAAAAGAACAAACCTGGAGGCATCACACTAACTGATTTCAAGCTATCCTACAACGCTACAGTAATCAAAACAGCATGGTACTGGTACCAAAACATAGATATAGACCAATGGAACAAAACAGAGGTCCTGTAGGCAATGCCACACATCTACAACCATCTGATCTTTGACAAATCTGACAAAAACAAGCAATGGGGAAAGGATTCCTTGTTTAATAAATGATGTTGGAAAAACTGGGTAGCCATGTGC